AGGTTTCAAAACTGACATGTAAAATTCTTTCGTTTATTACTGGCCCTGTAAGTGAACTTCATGATTTTCTCCTCAAGTGGCCTCCATAGCCACTAGTCTATTCACTCACCTTAATAACCTTGTGACAGATCCATCTGTATAGACTAAGATTGCTGGATTTGTCTGTGTTGCCTTTTTCATGAATTTACCCGTTCGTATGCCTTTGTTTAAGTGAATTGACTTTTCTGCTGAACGGAACTGTCGAACGGACAGCCACCCAGAAGAGAAGTGTGCTGCTGGTTCACCTATTGATCGCAATTAGAACGTTGCGGTTAACCACAGACACTTCTCAATTAAAACCGAATACAGGGTGGTCGTCGTTCTTGGTCGACCACGAGGCGGCGGCCATTTTAAACCATGCGAAAGACCAGCGGTGTTCAGCATTGATTTCATGGAACTGAAAACTGACACTTTTTCAACCGAACACCACTGAAGCCGCCGACCTCCCTTCTCAATCGACAGACATGTGCGAACACCGGCCGTTCGGGAGGTTTAAAGGCACGAATGGACTTACCCCAGATAGCCGTCCCCTGGAGTCAATCGCATACCGAAGAACTGTAATAGACTTTGACTCCATGGCGATTGAACTATGCGTATGGGATCTGAGCGCTATTCGCCAATAATATGCACTCAGATCCAGGCTATCTGGGGATATGTGATACGAATGGGTAGCATTCGATAAATGTAAAGTTATCTATTTTTATGTGTTTTTATGTGTTGAATTTAAAATGGCGATTTGCCTCTGTCCTGGAGACAATTGATTACTTCTCAATTATCTTCAGGGCAGAGGGGAGGAATTACTATTGCATGCTGGGAATATTTTGTGTCTGTGGGTCCTGAACCACAGTTATATATGTCTATCTGTTGTCACAGTCTCCCATTTGGTCCCCTAGGGGAGTGTCCACCAAGTGGGAGACCTGCATAAATACGGGCAGGTAGCCCACTGTAAAGCCAGTTCTTGTTTTACCCCCAATGCGAGCTTGGTCTCGTTATTGGGGGGATTTATTACCGACGACTAGAGACTGCTAGATGGGATTATTAGTCGCTTGGGAGATAATATTCGGTTAATATTGGCGATTCATGAGTTTGGAGCTCGTGGAGGGAAGTGCCCGTCCGGATCCCGTTCGTGAGTTTGCAGCGTTCCCTTGCTTGCGGTTCGCATGATTATACTGGATACACATGCAGCCTGGGTTATTGCGAACGGGGAGCATTCACTAAACGGCGGTTTGTACATTTCATGCTGAAGGTACCGTAACAAACCTCACCTGGATTAACTAATTAGGAGGCTTGATAAGTCTACACCCGGCACACAACAGTGCCTTGACAATGAAGTCTATGCTCTGATAAAGAATCTCTGTTCCTGGTAATATTCTGTATTTTATCTACATTATTTCATTCTGTAGAGAACTTACCCGCAGTGCCTCATTCTGTACTCATCTGCATTTCCTCATACTGAAAGGCACTAACCTGCATTACTTCATCCTGAACTTGCCTGAATTACATCTTATCGAAAGACTTTTCTTATCAGCTTCCAAGAATCCTGATTTGTGGCGTATTGCCTTAATTGAAGAATCTTAACTGCTTCAATTGCTGCATCACTGCATGATCTCGTAAGCAACCTGCATTATATTATTTTGGAATATACCTACCTGTTTCAACCTCTGCAACTCTGCATGATCCTGTATTGTCTTATCCTAAAAGGTATTTACCTATAACTAGCTGCATTGCAAAGTATCCTGGAAATCCTTAACAACATGGTATAACTTCAAACCTGCTTGTATACAAAAGACTTCATTCATTTGCTTTCTAAAGATCTTGTTTGTGGCATATCGCCTAAACCCTGTTTTTTCTCACAAAGTATCCTGTTTGTGGCAGACAGCCCTTTATTCTTTATTTTAAGTAAATTTGTTATGTCTAATACAACAAATAAAGTTTTAACCAATAACCCTTGCAATCGTCTCCTCTCTGACCTGCTCAGGAGCATGACAGAATCTTTGAATTTAGCTTTGGAAGAACATAAATCAAAATCTAAAGCATGGCTGTCAGGAGGATCACCAGAATTATCCATTTGAGAGAGGGTTGGAGTACAGGGTATTCTCTTTCATTGTTCAAACTGAGCTCAACTCCTGATGCATGGAGAAAAGGCCCTCACAAGCCTCTGCTAATGTGTACCTAGTTTATACTAAGTGACCCATAGGTTGAGGAGGCGGTGACCGTGGCGGTGGAGGAGGAGGATGAGGTAGCCAACACTGTATTTTATGGGGGTTTTTTTTTGTTTTTTTATTGTGATAGCCCACAAAATATTGGGACATACAAATAAAGAAACATTTGCGGCCTACGGTGCATTTCTTGCAGTCCTGATGCATGGAGAAATGCTCAACTCCTGATGCATGGAGAAAAGGCCCTCACAAGCCTCTGCTAATGTGTACCTAATTTATACTGAGTGACCCATAGGTTGAGGAGGCGGTGACCGTGGTGGTGGAGGAGGAGGATGAGGTAGCCAACACTGTGTGTGTGTATATATATATATATATATATATATATATATATATATATATATTAATTGGGGTAGCCCCCAAAATATTGGGACATATAAAAAAATACAACTCTGTTCCGCAGAATAGCTGTTGACATTATAGTTGCGCAGGAACGTTGACTCTAGAGAACCTCGGTCAAATCGCACAATCCGTGGCGGCGACTTTGCATTCGGATGTCATCCATATCAACTTTCGATGTCAGTTTCTGTGCCTACCGTGGTGACCACGGGTAACGGGAATCAGGTTTCCATTCCGTACAAGAACCCTGAGAAACGGCTACCACATGCAAGGAAGGCAGCAGGCGCGCAAATGACCCACTCCCGGCGCGGGAAGGTAGTGACAACAAATAACAATACAGGACTCTTTAGAGGCCCTGTAATTGTAAAGAGTCCACTTGAAATCCTTTAACTCTGATCAATTGGAGGGAAGTCTGGTGCAGAGCCACTGACCCGTACGTGCTGCAGCTGAAACTCCACTGTCGCCTGCTGCTGCTCGCAAAGTCTCATGAGGCAGTGAGCGGGAAGGCCTAAGTTACGTTGCAGTGCAGACAGGCAAGCAGCAGCAGAGTGACAATGCCAAAAGTGTGCACAGCCACTACAGTGAATGTCACATCCTGACAGTGTCTGTGTCCTGGTCCCCGGACTGCCCACCTTACTGTGAAACTATGAATGGATCATTAAATCTGGTACGAACCCGAACTTTGCAGTTCAGGTTCACTCAAGTCTATAATGGATCCTTTGATCGCTACATGTATTACTTGGATAACTGGTAATTATCGAGCTTATACATGCCGACGAGCGCTAGGGGACGGCTGCTCCGCTTTTGCACCCTGCTCCCTCTTATGCTGTGCTGGTGCCTCTGTGCCACAGTACCTCTTCCTCCAAACTGCACACGTCACTCGCATGACCTTGATTCCATGTGGGGTCTAAGACCTCATCATCCTCCACATCATCATCCACCCACTCCTTGCTGGTATGCACATTGCAGAAAGCCACAGCAGTTGGCAACTGTGATTTTCCAGCATTTAAAGACTGCAAAGGACGTATGGAAATTGTTTTAGAATTTCCTCCAGGCAACAGTTTTCCCTATAAACAGACCTCTCAGTTTGACTTGTGAGGGTATTGCCCCAGAAATACAATATTGTTGAAGTACCTCTTAGCTATTGATAACTTTTTTAAATATAGCAGCTTGTTATCTGGTAGTTTATAGTGTAGAAAACACATTGATATTTTCATCACTAAGATCTGTGTAACAAGTGTTGTAGGTGTGAAACAATATTTCAAGTGACCGATGTAGTAAATTTGAATCAAAGTTCCATTCGCAAAACAAATTATCACCCATCTTCTGTGGCTTATTGCATTTTTAGGATGTAGACTTATTGTATCACACTAGCCATGCACAGGTAGATTGTCTGACATGTTGTTTTGGTGTTTTTTTTGTTTTGTTTTTTTGTTTTTTATTCTTTATTTTTATTGTGCAAGTGATGTCAAACAAGCCCGTTTTGCCACAACAGCAGTCACAAGCTTAATAGATTCTTACATTGTCAAACATGGCAAATAGATAATCTGCACAATTTTATATTATTAGTAAACAGGCGTTAATCTAATAAGGCAACAATAATAGAGCAACATTAACTGAAATAACATAATAGTAGGTCTAGAGGTTAAAGCATTGCTTTTCAGGCTTAGAGTGCTAACATTGCTTGGGTGGGTAATCATTATAGTATGGTATCACATTAGGTAGGCATTAAGTAACGCTGCACATTTGTATATCTGCATTGATATGCCTTTTTAGCCACCTTTTCCTGCTCTGTTTATCAGGACAGATGAGGTATACGATTAGACAGGACAAGGTGCCATAAAACAACAGTTGGTCTGTGCTATAAGTTATGGTCATTCAATGATGCGGTGTCAAGATTATAGGGAGGTTAATGCATAGACTTGCTTGCTAAGTAAATAAACATTAGTTTGTTATTCAACGCTTAATACACAACATATGATACTCAATACTATGCTGTTCTGGATATTAGGCAGTGAAAGCATCCATGTATCAGTCCCAAAGGCTGAGTCAAGGTAAAACTATGCAAGGGGCATATAGGGAAACCGGTTCATGTTGGGAGTCCACCAGGATAGACCAGGTCTGCAGTGCCATCTGTGCCTGTGCTGAGAGACAGTCTGGGGCTTCTTGCCCGTTTATCCAATGCCCAGTCTGTTAGGTGATCGTTGGTCGCTCTGCATTGGGCTTGTATCCTGCAGGCATGTACCTTTTGCAAAGACGTTGTATTGTGCCTGGGTGCCTCATGGTGGTCCTGAGTGCAAGTCCGTCATCTTGTGGGGCTGCATGTGTCAGAGTCCCTTTGGCTTGGTTCTTTACCTTTCCACTGGGTTTTGCAGGCCTTCGTGGGGTAGCAGGCATGCATGTTCTCTACAATTGCAGCTGCTTCTTGCTGGGCCAGCGGTTCTTCTGTGCGCTTGGTGGCTTGAGGTGCTTGGCGGGATCATGCAGGTAGGTCCACGGTTTCGCGGGCTCAGCTATGTGACGGTTGTGTCTTGGTGTGACCTCCTGCAGTGCCTCCTGCAGTGCCCAAAACTTTTCAAATATTAGATTCAGTCGTGCTTGAGAGGCTGCTAGGTAGGCCTCAGTAGTGGGGTTGCTTGCGTGCTCTGCCATCTTGGATGCTGCCCTGCTTTGATGCTCAAGAGGCAGTGAGAGTCGTGGATGGCGGTAGGGTTGCAGGTGTCCGCTGTGATTTTCAGAAGTCGGCACCGGAGAGCAGTCGTCTCCACGGCGCCTGGTAGGCCGGACCCGGACGGTTCCACGTTTGGTGTCTTTTGGGTCAGCACATTCCCCCCTGGTCAGCCTGCAAGGTTTGCGGTTAAAGCTTGATTCTCGGCTGCGGTCAGTGGCATTTTCCTCTGGTTTAGCTCAGGAGCTCGTGTGATGTGCATCCGCTTGGCTAGCCAGTCTGGCCCCGCCCCCTTGGTGTTTGGTTTTTAACTTTGTAGTTGTGTCTTTACACAATATAGAAATGTATATTAATGCTTCTGTATATGAAGCGATCACAATAACACTTATTTTCCACTTTAAAAAATAAATAAATATCAGGCTACACAAAAATTGGTAATTCACAATATGACATCTGAAAAGCACATGAAAGAATGCTGTATGATTTTAAAAAAAACAACACAATACATGAAGGTCCTGTTCACTAGAGTGTGTAGTCATGAATGTAACCAGTAAAACTTTGTTGTTTACAGCCACTGGTTGGCCCATACATATTTTAAAACTTGTTTAATTTTGTTGTAGCATGACTTGTAGATATGAAGAGCAAAACAATTAGAATGTTTACAAGTGCGCTGTAAGCACACTATTAGAAGCTTCGATTTGACTCTAAGATATGACGTGCATGCCCCAAAATGTAGTATTTAGCAGATTAGCAGCAAAACAATTAGAATGTTTACCACTGCGCAGTAAGCACACTATTAGACGCTTCTATTTCACTAATGTACTTTTTAGCACCCAAAAGTTTTAAAACTGCAATGTTACAGCAGTATTTGACGATTCTATTTGACTCTCAGATATGAAGTGCACCCCACTAATGTACTTCACCCACTAATGTACTATTTAGCACCAAAATAAAAATTACTTTTAAAAACTCTGATGTAACCGCGGTATTTGAAGCTTCTATTTGACTCTCAGATATGAAGTGCACCCTACTAATGCACTAGTTTGCAGAATTTTTTCCTAAGCTGTCCCTCACAGCGGCAGCATCCTCTCCATACACTAATAAGACCGCATATGCGTACGGCGCTACGCGACTCCAGCTTATATATAGAAGCTGGGTCACATGCTGCACTGGCCAATAACAGCCATGCCATTAGTAGGCATTGCTGTGATGGCTTCTAAGGGCACACGAGTCAAACGCTTGTTGATTGGCTGCCCTGCAGCCTTTGAAAACGCGCCATTAAATTGCTGAACACCGAACTCCAACCCGAACATACAGTGATATGTCCGTGCTCGGTTCCGGGGTCCAAAAAATCTAATGTTCGGTACAAACCCAAACTTTTCAGTTCAAGTTCGCTCAACTCTACACATAAAACATCAATTTAGAATTATGCATGTTATCAGACTCCACTGTAAATAGATGCAGTGTCTCCTAGCCATCAGTTGTTCACCTTGGTTTGAATTTCAATGGTAATAAAGCCATAAAACTATGTAAAAATTAATGATCCACTAATAATTATATAATTAGTTTATACTGTACTGTTCTGAAATGTGTTTCAAAAATAAAAAGATAAGCTAACTACTATACAAGAGGCAGTGTATTAAAGAACTAATGCCACCCAAACAAATTCTAAACTAACACACATTTAAACTAGAACTGTGCACAAATTCTTTTCTGCTGGTACAAACCAATCAGATTCCTTTTAATCCATGATGGAGCAAATCGATGCGTTTGGGATTAACCTGTGGAATTTTATAGTTCGAGTGAAATTGAAAGGAATTTAATTCGTTCATACAAGCTGAAAATTATTTATGCATTAGTTTAATTTAAACCCAATTTATGGAGATTGACAGGCAAAGGCAGGCAGAGTTAGCACAGTATTTTAGTTTATAAAATGTATTTCCCATGCCACTCATGCTGCTGTAAAATTGCATCTCTCATCATGTTCAGTCAATGGCCACAGATGTTAAAGTGGCAGAAAATAGGCAACCTATCGGCACCATGTACTGAAAAACCATCATTTCTAAAATGTGCCTGAGCCACATGGGATTTGTATCCAGCAGTGATAAAGAAAGTCACTCATATGTATTAGATTCATGATGAATAATAAAATACCACACCATAAATAAAAATAAATATTTTGTCTATTATACGGTTTAGTGAGTACAGTTATTAGGTATAGACTGATCATCCACATCATTAAAACCCCTGACAGGTGAAGTGAATAACATTGATTATATTGTTACAAGGACACCTGTCAAGATGTGGGATATGCTAGGCAGCAAGTGAACAGTAAGTTCCTGAATTCCATGTGTTGGAAGTAGACAAAATTGGCAAGTGAAAATATCTGAGTGACCTTGACAAGGGGCAAATAGTGATAGCTAGATAACTGGGTGAGAGCATCTCCAAAACGGCAAGTCTTCCTGGTGTTCCTAGTATGCCGTGGTTAGTATCTACCAAAAATGGTGCAAGGAAAAACTGGTGAACTGGCGTTAGGGTCATGGGTGCCCAAGGTTAATTGATGCATGTGGGGAGCTAAGGCTAGCCTGCCTGATCTAATCACACAGAAAGGCTACTGTAGCTCAAAATGCTTAAAAACTTAAAGCTGTGCTAGAAAGGTGTCAGAACATAGACTGTATGATGATTCCTGTCCACCACCAAAATGATTGATATGACAGCCACTGGGGGAGGACTTAACCCTGCAAGGTAATTATTGCAGTTTATGAAATAATTACAGGCACCCAGACCACTCCAATGGGCAGAAGTGGTCTGGGGGCCTGGAGTGTCCCTTTAATTTCATTTTAAATCGACAATAAATAAATATACACATTTATGGGCTGTCAGGGAAAGCAGAAGAGGTGTCTAGGAAAGTAAATAATAAAATGGTTTTAGAGGACATACTGTAATCTTTAACCCCTTCAGGATGGAGTCAATAGTACACGTTCTGATCAGAACAAAAACTGGAATTTGCACTATATGTCTGTTCACCCGTAATTCACCGCTGTCACATTAAGTGCACCCACACTTATTATATATCATTTTGTTCAGGAGAAACAGGGCTTTAATTTATCATTAACTATTCATATATGGAACATCATTTATTATGAATAAAATTTAAATTTTTTTTTAGAAAATAAGATTTTTTTGTTTTAAATTTGTATTTCCGTCTGACATTTTAGCTGTTAATGTCATAATACTGTTAGCTATTACTGCAACAAAAATGCCCATATTTGTAATCAGCGATGTCTCACGAGTACAACAGTACCCCCCATTACCAGGTTTTATGGTGTTTTGGAAAGTTACAGGGTCAAATATAGAACGTTCTATTTTCACATTGAAATTTGCCAGATTAGTAATGTTACCTTTGAGACGGTGTGGTAGCCCAGGAATGAGAATTACCCCCATAATGGCATACATTTGAAAAAGTAGACAACCCAAGGTATTGAATGTGGGGTATGTTTAGTCTTTTTTAGTAGCCACTTATTCACAAACACCGCCCAAAGTTAGCATTCATATTTGTTTTTGTGTGAAAAAAGCAAAAAACGAATATTTGGCCAGTGTTTGTGACTAAGTGGCTACTAAAAATGACTGGACATACCCCATTTGCAATACTTTGGGTTGTCTACTTTTGCAAATGTTATGCCATCATGGGGGTAATTCTTATTCCTGGGCTACCATACGCTCTCAAAGGCAACATAACCAATCTGGCAAATTTCAATGTCAAAAAAATGAAATGCAAGCCTTATATGTGACTCTCTAACTTTCCAAAACACAATTAAATCTGTACATGGGGGGTTTTATTATTCTCGGGAGACTTCACTAAACACAAATATTAGTGTTTTAAAACAGTAAAAGATAGGCCCTTAAAGTGGAAATTGTGGGGGGTGGAGCCTGCGCTCGAACGGAATGGCCGCGTGAGTGGAGAGCTCCCGAGCCGACGGCTAAATACAGCGGCACAAACAGCATCCTACCGGCACAAACACTCCCCAGAGTGAGGTACTGCCACAATGTCACAGAGGGGAGCAAGGAGGGTGACCGACGCCAAAGAAAAACACTCGTTTTTCGCCGCGAAAACGGCAAGCCACAAGTCACAGGCTCAGACGGGACAAGATGGCGACGGCAGTGGGGATGAACAGGAAATTCCCCAGCCACATTCCCCACAACAGCCTGCACCCAGCACCATGCAAATACACGGTGAGCTGTTCCAGACAATGTTAGATGACATGGCTGCAAAAATACAAACAACAGTCCATGCAGCAATAGCGGACCTAAAGAAAGATATTGCCGACATAGGAAACCGTACAGCCCACATGGAAAGCAAGATGGCGGAATATGCCGAAGCACACAACAGCATGGCAGAAAAAATTGAGGAGCTGGAGGCAAAGCTTGAGAAGCAAGAAGTAAAAAACATGGACCTTGAGGACAGATCCAGGCGCCAAAATCTCCGGGTGAGAGGTATACCTGAAGACGTACAGGCTGCAGACCTCATGACATACCTCACAGACCTGTTCCATATTTTGGCTCCTGACCTCCCAATTGACATGCTACTCATGGATAGGGCGCACAGGGTGGCAAAGCCACAACATCTGCCAGCCTCAATACCGAGGGACGTGATGCTCAGACTACACTACTATCACGTAAAAGAATCCCTCCTGCGCTCCAAGAAACCTCTACAAGATCTCCCGGACAGATATAAAGAGGTCCAGATATACGCAGACCTTTCGGCCGAAACACTTAGACGCAGGAAAACTTTCAAGGACGTCACAGCTGAACTCAGGAACAGGAAAATCCCGTACCGCTGGGGATTCCCAATCAAGCTATTGATCCTACGAGACGGCAAGACCCATATTGCCTCAACCGCAGAAGAAGGAACCCGACTGCTGCGCTCTTGGGGCCTCACTCTAGCTACAAACAGGGACAAACCAAACAAACGACCGACATTGCACCAAGAGTGGCAGACGGTGAAACACTCCAAAACGCCGAAACACACCGCAACATAGTGACGGAAGCCAGGGGATGACGGATGACATCCATACGGACAGTATCAACGCAAAATACACCATGGTCACTGCTAATCTTTTTCAGGGACTTTGGGACATTGTTCACCGTCGACCAAGGGAAACACGACGAGAGAGGGTAATATACTCGCTACAATTGTTTTTGTGTTAACACTACGGATCATTATTTCATATATGTAGGGAACAGGGGGAGGGGGACTTGGGAGGGGGGAGAGGAACTGTGAGTGAAGGGGCAACAGGAGGGGAAAGTTAACCACCATGGGGCGGGGACCCCGTCTAGACAGTAGGATACGACCCACGCGAGAGGGTCTCCGACCCTGTAGCCCCCCCTGAAAACATACCCACTAACTACCCCACCTACCTAACATAGCCAAAATAAGAAGCGGGATCAAGGGCTCAAAGCGGGGAGACATGGAGGGTGGTGGGGCGGTGCCCCAGGAGCAGCACCAGGTCAGGGTCAGAAGACAATAGGGCCATAGAACCAAGCGAGGGCAGGAGCCCCATAGACAGTATAGACTAATGGACCCTAAAAATGCTACCTAAACCACGCGCACCATCCTTCCCACATAGCGAGCCAACAGTTGGGAAACCATGTAGGGGCCACTGCTACTCCCGCCCTCTAGGGGACGTGAGGCAAGCAAAGTATAGAGATACCAGTAACATGGACTAAAAGAGGGGAACGGGGGAGCAAGCTGTTGCCTCTCTGCCAAACCAACATCCCACTCCAACGCCCGCAGCCCCCCCTAGATAAGTGATAATTCCAAACCTCCACGTTAAAAACCCACATGCCCATCTCCAAATCAAGAACACAGGATTGATGGCAAGATCCCTCTGCTCCTACCAACACTCCCTGTGAGTCAGACAACCCTCAAAACACATCCCCAAGGTAGCCTAGATTAGAGCCGCTGGCCTGGGGCAGCGACCACTGGCTCGGCCAGGAGGCCAGAACCGGACTTCCCAACCCCCCAGATAGGGAGAGCTAGTAGGAGGAACTAGCGGGATAAACTGCGCCCTGATGGACGACCAGGGCACAAGAGCCAGATCTCAAAAATTGTTATGTTTATGTTATTGTAAATATGTTAAATGTTTTCGATTCACCTATGCTCAAAGACAAATCACATCATCTATGTCTGTATGCAATTCACACAAAGGCAGGGTTAACATTCCACTAGTACACTATATCCGCCTCATAGAACCGATCACGGGTCACCCGCCACACCGACGTATAACGAAAAACACCCCCGGCCACTCTTCTCAGAACAAGAGCGGCGACCCACCGCTAGCCAACACACGAGACAGTGAAGACCGAAACAGCACATCCAATTCCCACACACATTCAATCTAAAACTATACTCCCACAATGTACAGGGATTAAATATCCCACAAAAGCGTCACACTCTGAGCAGGGAACTTAAAAAAAACCAAGCCGACATAGTATTTCTCCAGGAAACACATTTTAGAACCGAGGCTCACCCCCACATAAGTCCTAACATGTACCCCCACCAAGCACATTCCACCACCCCGAGAAAATCTCGAGGCGTGTCAATTCTCTTCAGCAAAGACCTCACGATCATATCACACAACCAATTAATAGACCAGGGGGGGAGATACATCATATGGCACTGCACCATCAACGAAACAGAATACACACTGGCGAATATATATGCACCAAACACCAACCAAAGAAATTTTTTGCACGCAGTCCTCTCTAAAATTGAAAAAATTAGGAAAGGAACTCTAGTCATAAGCGGGGATATAAACCATGTGTTGGACCCCACATTAGACTCAACTAGGCCGCCCACGTCGCCTCACTACAAAACCATGAAAAAACAAGGCAAAAGCCTTAGGAATTTGCTAGCCACATATGGCCTGAGAGACGTGTGGAGAGCCCTCCACCCCTCAGAAAAAGCCTACACGCACCACTCCAAAGTACACAACACATACTCTAGAATTGACGGGTGCTTCATGCACGAATCCACAATGACCAACATCTTAAACTGCGAAATTTTGACCGCTGACTGGTCAGATCATGCACCAGTGACACTATCATTGTCGAGCTCCTATGACTACAAATATAGAAACCCATGGCGTCTTAATGACTATCTAATTAGAGATCCACAATTCTGCAAAACCCTAGAAAAAGAACTGCATAACTACTTTACCACTAACGCCTCAAACGACCTGAACCCCCACATGACCTGGCTTGCACATAAGACTGTACTTAGGGGCACATTAATAAGTAGAGCCACATATCTAAAGAAACGATCAGAAAAAGAAATTATGCAATGCGAACAAAAACTGGCAGTGCTTCACAAAGATAACCAAAAGCAACCATCAGCAGAGCACAAAACGCAAATCAATACACTCCAAAACAAACTCAATGAGATTAGACTCCACAAATTCGGCCTCATGCTGAAGCGCCTAAACACTCGCACATACGTCCAAGGAAACAGAGCCAGTAAGCTTGTAGCACAACACTTAAGAGAGAGACAGCAACAAACACGGATAGCACATATCTTAAATAAAAAGGGCCAAAAAATCCACCTCCCCTCAGGCATTTGTAAAGAATTTGCCCAATATTACAGCCAATTATATAATCTCTCCAAGGATCAGACCACGCCGCAACCCACAGAGGCTGGCATACAAGCCTACTTATCAAACATCCCGCTACCAACCCTATCCACAACCCAGCAACAACTTCTGGAAGCTCCCATTACAGAAAACGAAATCGTAGAATGCATAACATCCATGCCCCTAGGAAAAGCACCAGGGCCGGATGGCTTTACGAACGAGTACTATAAGAAATTCGCTCCACTTCTGGCCCCACATCTGAACAGGGCTTTCAACCATGCTCTTCAGACAGGAAGCTTCCCAGCGGAGTTCCTAGCAGCTAGAATAATTACCCTACCGAAACCAGGTAAACCCCCGACACACTGCCAAAATTTCCGCCCCATATCATTACTAAACTCAGACACCAAACTGTACGCAAAAATTTTAGCTAACCGACTCAAAAACATCCTCCCTGACCTTATCTCAAATGACCAAGTGGGCTTTGTTCACGGAAGGCAAGGCTCAGACAATACACGAAAGGTAATAGATATAATACAGTCGATACACATGGACCGGACCCAAGGTCTCATAATCTCCCTAGACGCAGAAAAAGCATTCGACAGACTGAATTGGCAATTCCTAGAGGCTACTCTGAAAAAATTTGACTTTCCCCCCACTTATCTGACAGCAATCAAAGCCCTATACAGCTCTCCGAACGCCGCGGTAACATCCTCAGGTTCCCGATCAGATCCATTCAACATCACAAATGGGACTAGACAGGGTTGTCCCCTGTCACCACTTCTTTATGTGTTAGCCCTGGAACCCCTCGCGGAAGCCATTAGACGTAACCCAAACATACACGGCATAAATATAGGAGAAAGAGAGTACAAACTCAACCTATTCGCAGACGATGTCCTTTTAACGCTATCCCAACCATTGATCTCCCTCCCAAATCTCCAAAAGGAACTTCAATCCTATAGCGCACACTCATACTACAAGCTAAACACCACTAAAACCCAAGCAATGGGAATAGGCATAGAAGACAACATAATGACCAGACTCAAAACGGCATTTCATTATGACTGGAGAGAAGACCACCTCATCTTTTTGGGAATCAAAATCACAAAAACATATAACTCACTTTTCACAATGAATTACCAAAAACTCTACACAGAAATTGTAAATACATTAAAGTCCTGGGAAGGCAAATACCTATCTTAGGTGGGTAGATGCGCGGCTATCAAAATGATGATCCTGCCAAAAATTCTTTATCTATTCCGAACATTACAAATACCTGTCCCCGCCAAATATTTCAAAAACCTCCAGACGACCCTTTTGAGATTTGGATGGCAAAACAAAAAACCCAGGGTAGCATGGCGACTCCTGTCACGGTCAATAAGAGAGGGAGGACTTGGATTCCCGGACGTAAGAGAATATCACAGAGCCACGCAACTGGCAAATGTGCTACGGTGCCACTCTAGAGAACAACCCCCACAATGGCTGGAACTAGAATCCAGCAGATTAGAAGGGAGGCAAGTAACACACCTCATATGGGCCCCAAGGGAAATACGACCCCGCACCCCCCAGATATTGCCGACAACCAAACTCATGCTATCTATTTGGGACAAAAACAAGCACAGGGTCTGCTCGAGACATAAGTGGTCCCCCGCAACCCCCTTAAAAACGCTGCACACCCTAGACCCCTCGTTCAACTATAAAATTTGGGCTGAACACGACCTAACCCACCTTCACCAACTGACTCAAGGCGGCTCCCTGAGGAGCTTCAAAGAATTACAAACACACCATAATATACCAAACAGGGCCCTATTCTCATATATACAACTTCACCACACGATACGGACTGTACATACACCCACTCAACCAGTGACTGGTGAACCAAAACTAACTCACTTTGAAACTAAATGCCTCGAAAGGAAAAAGCAAGACAAAACTATATCACTATGCTATAACATACTCAATGGGAGCCCTCAAACGCACCTCTGGGGATTTCAAAAAGAATGGCATACAGATATTGGGAGGGAACTAACAACCCAGGAATGGGGTAGAACCTTCGTAGCACACAAAAGTGCGACAAGATGCGCCTCTCACCTAGAAATAGCCAGAAAACTACTCTATAGGTGGCACCTCACCCCTAGCAAATTAAATAAAATGTACAACAACTCCGAAGCCAAGTGCTGGAGATGCCTAAAGGCGAAAGGGGACACATTACATATCTGGTGGACTTGTCCACTCATACGTCCAGTATGGGAAGCAGTAGAAGAAATAGTTACAAACAGCACAGGGGTATCGATCCAACCCAGCATAGAATTATATCTATTACACCTATCACCACAAAATATCATGAAACCCGCTCGAAAACTAGTCTACCTTATCACGATAGCGGCAAAGACATTAATAGCAAGACAATGGAAATCGTCAGTGATTCCCACAAAAACAGAAATAATAGCCCTAACATCCACCAACGTCTCATATGAAAAACATGCGGGGTCACTAGGGCAAGAGGACCGCACAACCACAGAGGCTTACAATATGTGGCTCAATTATGAGCAAGCAATCCACATAACACGCAGACACGCAACGCATGACCCTCCGTAACAAACTAAACAAATAAAAGGTACAGACAAGGAATCAAACTCAAAAATGTATACATTTAGCAATGCGGAGAAATAGACACTGACGGGAAAGGCACCAGACCCAAATGACATGCCTAGACCAAACCCAACGCAACAGAGCATCAGTCATACAGAAAAACTTGTATAGGTGGAACAAGTTCCATGTATATAGTTCATATTAACGTTTATATTGTTTATATTGTACTTCATGTAATCTACGTACTTCCACAACTGACACGGCACCCCCAGCACCACTCAGGGACTGGAATATGATGATAGCACAATGCAGACAAGCGTGATATGTACCACCATGGGTATACAAATTTGTCGCGAAAACCGCATACATATCATTAGAACGTACTGTGAAGCCATGTTAACTGAAGTTACGTAATCCCCTACCCCTCCCTTATTCCTTTCTGTACCCCGCACACCTATCCCCTTGTTTATGTCTAAGCATCACAAAGGTAAAATGGTTAACTATATAGAAAGAGAGTGGAGGAGGGGAAGAAAAAAAAAAAAAAGCCACTTTTGCCAACACAGGGAACAGAACAAAGAACTGGCCTGTCGCGACAAAGTGGGCAAATTCGAATATAGTTACATTTTCGCTAGAAAGTATGAACAGGATGGCAAACATTGAAACCGTAAAGTAGGAAATGTGCAAATGTGTTTCATCCCCCCACCCCTCTTTCCTTCTGTACCCCAAGTTTGAACTTGAACTTGAAAAATAAAAATTGTCAAATTGAAAAAAAAAACAGTAAAACATATTACAACAATAATATAGTCCATAAAAGTGCTGTTTGTTTGTAAAAAATGCAAAAAACTTCACTTTTACTTAAAATATCATTGTTGTAATACGATTTACCAGTTTGAAACACTAATATTTGAGTTCAGCGAAGTCTCCCGAGTAAAACATAACCCCCTATGTACAGGTTTTATGTTGTCTTGGAGAGTTACAGGGTCAAATATAGTGCTTGCGAATTAAATTCTCTGCACTTTCTCCCTGTGTTGTCAGGCATGTCAATCAAATTTTAATTAATCAAATCACATAATTATGTTAAAAGATTACTTAAATATACACGTAGAATTTTAATATATATGCATTTATAGGTATTTAAATTCTACGTGTATATATAATATATATATATATATATATTAATAACAAAATACAGTTAGAATGAAATTACATATGAATATATAATTTTAATACAATTTTGTTTCAATATTTTATTTATTTATTTTATTATTTTATTTATTTATTAATGTAATTATACGTATATATATATATATATAATATATGTGTATATATCTATTATATATGTAACGTCATTCTAAGTGTATTTTAATACTAATATATATACTAATATTAGTATTAAAATACACAGCGTATGACGTTATAAATATAAATGTATTTAATTTATTTTAAAACGTCAATTTTTTTTTTTTTAATTTCCCACCAGCAGGGGGACTGTCTAATATTTCAGACAGTCCCCCTGCTGGCAGATCCACAGCCAGCTATAGGGGGCCATGTGATCTCTCTTTAAGAGCGATCACATGGCCCCCGGGGGCCTCATTCGCTGGGGGAGGGCTGCCTTGGCGGTCAGGCAGCCCTCTAGAAGAGGATCGCAGCGGATGTAAGTAGCTACGATCCCCTGGGGCAGAAAGCCGGTACGGCGTTCTATGCCGCCGCAATGGCTTTAAAGCCCTTTAAAGCCGCGACGGCATAGAACACCGTAACGGCGTTAATGGGTTAACAGGAGACAATATTTACAATGGAATCAGTAAAAAAATATATAAAGCAATGTTATCACTGGCCTCAGTAATATGTCGAGACATGCTTCCTTTTTACTGCTCCGTCATAGCCAGCATTGCCTTAAAAGGACACTGTAACTGCTTCATCTCTTTGAATTGATTATAGTGTCTGGAATCCACTGGGGATGTCCCTTCATTCACTGTTAAACCTGCTAAACCAGTCCCCAGCAGCCCATCCCCTCTGTATTCCTTGGGCTAATGAGCATTGGCTTAGAGTGTCAGCTGGCCAGCTTCTGCCTATGCCATTGCACTTATGAATCAGTACGTCTAGAAAGAAGTGTGTGTTCTCTGCTTTAGCCATACCTCCAGTTGGGGCCAGCGATTCTTACCCACAGCCAGGCACAAATAGAATTGTTTTAGTCCTGGGTTACTTTTTGGTGGCGAGTGGAAGTTTGATTTTATGTTATAATGGAAAAAAACATTTTTTTTTGCATTAGTTGTATAAATTTGCAGAGTTTTGGATAGTAATGTCACTTGAATTATATTTTTATTTGATATAGAG